TAAACTCATTTTAACTTTGATGCATGATAACTACTCAAGCCTATGGAATTTTCCAAATCTGTTTTAGTGTGAATCTGACCAATATGCTTGTAGTCTTTGAAACAGTAAACATGACAGGGTTCTTGTCACACATAACATTTTTGTATAAACAAACAATGGACTTTTCATTGGACCCACATATGGCGCATCTCGTTTACGATTTGAACATACTTAGAGGGACAACATTTCGCAAAATTGAGTTTAATCACATTGGGTTTAAACTCTGCACTGCATATGTTATTGTGTTGACTGTCGCCATTAAATTTTTGTTTCTTCTGTAACCAGATATTGATGATAATTTTAGTTTTATTACTTCTATTTTTTATATTTCGTAATATGTAAGATCAATTGTGATAAGAAATGTCATTAGCTACTGTAAAACACTTTATTTTCGCTGAGGAGATGATTCAGAGAAAATATTTCCAGCTAAAATAAAGTATTTTACAGTAATACTGCATGTTCATTGCAATACAGCGAAATAGACTCTTCACATGAAAACACTGTTACCTACGCAATGCTTAGCATGTCTGCTTATCAGTAAGATTACAGGTTTGACTTGTATGGTCGGCTACAATCATACTTCTGACTTTTCTTTGAAAATTGCGTCCTGCTGAAGGAAACGTGTACTCTTTCTGTTTTCTCAGTGTATGTTAAAAAACTTGTTGCTGTGGTTAGCTGCAATACTGTAAGACAACAGAAATGTTCTGTAATTGTGCTTTGTAGCCGTTAGCCATTAAATACAGCAGATGCTGAAATAAACTAGTCAGGCAAACCTTACTCTCCCTTGCAACATCGTAATAGTGTTCTAGGAACATTGCAAGTAGTGTTTATTATAACTTTCTTTCATCTGTGGAAAATATTATATTGAAATATGCACTGTAATTGATCATAGAAATACAATCTATGATTTATCAAGCTTTAATTTATAATAAAATTGTCTATTTTTGATCTTAATTCTACATTTTCATATTTCAACCAATTATTTAATCCCATTTGAAAATAGTTGTGTTGAAAGTGTCTGCTTTTTGGGATTGAAAGAGTCAAAGTAGAAACAAACACAATGTTTCTAAGAATATTGCTATACAAAAAAGACTGAAAGGAAGATAACTGTTTTAATGATCAGTTTATTTCCGTGCCACTTTAAATATAAGTGAAGTTGATTGAATAATAAAATCGTTACTGATTAAATTTTTTAACAGAACCAAGAACCAGGTTACTTTATAACCACTGTGATTGCCACAGACGGTGATTTGGGTGATAACGGCGTGGTGATATACGATTTCTTTAAAACAGAGGGTGACAATGAAGACTGGCAGAATTTCTACATTGACGAGACTCGCGGTGATCTGTACACCACGTTTACAGCTGACAGGGAACTCAAATCATTCTATACGGTGAGGTTCTCTGCGACATCCCACAATGCAATGTTTCCAGCAATCATATTTCTAGGGCACTGTGCAGTCACCTGCTGACACCATTTACAGGGATGACTTCCTCTGCATAGTGAATTAATAATATGTGTACTTGTGCATGCCATGAGGTGCACAAAAAAACATGAATGTCTGCAAAGAGATCTGTTACAGCGAGCCCCTAATTCATGATGCGTACTGTGGAAAATACTAGTATTTGAATATAAGTCTTGCCGATTCATTTCAACATTTATTTATAGATAGTTCAACCATATCTGCTTTTTCAGATGTGCATGTGCAATAGAAGCACATATAAAACCAAAAATCACATTTTTTTTATACCGTATCATTAAAATATTACTTACTGTGAGCTTAGGAATAGAAATGTACAAGCACATGCACTATTTATAGAGCAAATACTGTATTTTTTATTTGTGTTTACTGTTTATTGAAAATCTTCACAGTTAAATAATCATATAATGTAATGGCATATCAACAGGAACTATGTTAATACTATAAATCGGGAATATCTTGATCTATTTTTAGATTGTCTTGTTAGCTAAGGATCTTGGTGAACCCCAATTTGAGTCGACCCAAGCAGTTACAATAAAAGTGCTGGATGAAAACGACAACATACCAATCTTCAGTAATGTTGAGGTAAGATTAGCCAATCAGCAACCACGTTACAGCTGATGATTCAGTCCTTGCATTAATGAGAGACAAGCCATATTATTGGCCATGAATCCCCACTGCAAACCTAAAACCAGCAGGCTTGAAACTTTCAGTGTACTGTTGAAAGGGTGGAGTTATTTCACGCAATGAAGTTGTGATGCAAGTGTGGTCCTTGTTTCTGAGTGGTCAGTGCCAACAGATGGTAGAAATTAGAGAATAATTTTTTGATAGGGAAATTATACTGACCTTTCCTAGTACTTTGAATTAAATTGTAGCAGCTGGTGTATAAGTGGCTAACACCACATGGCTATGTATCAGACTATGCCTTCACAACCATTTATCCCATAGTGTTTCCTACACATACAATAGTAGCTGTTCAGTGGTACGTAATAATATCCTTACTTTCCAGGTTGCCCAAACCATGTACATTTCTGAACACTCCACCAATGGTACAATAGTTGGTGAAATTGAACAAGCCATAGACTTAGATGAAGGGGACAATGCCAAGGTCTATTATTACTTTGCAGGTAATTTGATTAAAAATTTGTCACTTTTACAAATGTTTATAAATTTGAGAATCCTTCAGATTTCCATATTATGGTTGTGATTGTTGCATTGGTTGGAGCATCTTATTAAGATGGTTGTGATTGTTGCCTTGGATACCTGGCTTTAGTTGGAGCATCTTATTACGATGGTTGTGACTGTTGCCTTGGATACCTGGCTTTGGTTGGAGCATCTTATTACGATGGTTGTGATTGTTGCCTTGGGTACCTGGATTTGGTTGGAGCATCATATTACGATTTGACTTGCTCATAGGAAATACTCAAAAACATTTTCAAACCAAAGCAATGTTAACAGTGTATATATTAGACTGTGGTGTAAAGCATCTTGCTTTTGATTGGCCGTGATAGACTTTATCAAAGTACCAGGGTTATATATACATAGGTACATGTATGCAGGAGACATCTATGTATTAGCTACATGTATGTATAGCTAGATGAGACGTTTATAGTGGCATATACACATTATGTGCTGTGCTACCAACAACTTTTATGAGATATTCTGTCAAATAAATATGCAGTCAGGAAATGTTACAAGTCTGTAAACATTTTAGGTCGAGCCGGTTCTGGAATTCATGACTTGATTGATTGCTAAATAACTTCTCAGCATATAGAGAAAATAGAGAATTTAAAGATTATTTTACAAAATTTGAATATTATATATATACAAATTAGAAATGAAAAATCAATCTTTGTTTAATGTTTTTGATTTTTATAAGGGTTTTTCCCATACATGGCAGTACAAACAAGAAATGTGATTTTAATATTCTATACATGGCGCTGTTATGGTTAATTTATCAATCATACTATTTCAGGTGGAAATTCTGATGGTTATTTTGAAATTGATAAGACAACTGGAATTATTATTTTGATGAAAGAAGTGGACAGGGAGAAAGTGAATCAGTTTGTTTTGACAGTGAAAGCGTCAAGTGATCCTGATTTCGGTGAAGACATTGAAGAGAGACGCAGACGTGAAGTAATTGAACCAATAGATATGAATGATATTAATGATCCAACGCTTAAGACGGTTGTAATTAAAGTTGTTGATATTAACGATAATGGTCCACAATTTCCCCGGGATGAGTATACTGCAGGTAATTATAGAGATAAAATATTTAAATTTGTATTTTTTGGTTGACAACTATATTCATCAGTTATTTCGTACAAGTGATGTAGCATGGGACCATAACAAACATAGTGATGCGCATACATCGCAATATTTCGTAAGTCCTATATTCTACTACCGTATTACCCCGGGCACGCGCCCAGGGGCCTGAACGTACAAAATCGGGAAAAATTGAGGGGTGGGCGCTTACCCGAGGACCACCCCAAAAAAGATTTTAAAAAGTTATTTTTGTGATTGTATGATAAGGTCAAATAAAGGAATGCTTTCGTATACTTTGTACTTATTTCTTGATTTATGCAAGGTTTCAATAAACGTGAGCACTCGGTCAAGATCTGTGCGTGGGAACACTAAGACACAGGGTCGAATTTCAAGAATAAAACTTGTTTTATGTCAGCGAATGAAGTTGTATTACTCACTGAAATTGACTACAAACTATGGTAAATATTGTAATCAATGCACAGTTACATTTTTAGTAACCGTGATCAGTGCAAGTCGAAATGGCCGGGGAAAAACTACCGCTTGTAATCCAAGAAGGCGATGACCTCATTAGCATAATTTTGTTCACGCAC